TACAATGTTTTGTAGTATAAAAAGTTAAAGTAGGAGAATGATACAAGGTTATTGAGCTCTGTCACTAGGATATGCTTAGACGTCTTTTTCATAAAGCAGATGTATGGCGGTACAATTTAAATGCAAAGAAATCCACTCATTTATAGTGTACAAGTGAATGACTTTTGACAAACATACACATCCATTTAACCACTGCCTCAAACACTGTATAGAAATTTCCATATTTCCAGAAAGTTCATTCATGCCCCCTCTATAGACAAGATTACTTTCTCTCCCACAACTCCAGTATGATTTTAGTTTTACCATTCTAACATTTCAAATAAATGAAATTATGCCACTTATTTGTGCCCAACTTTTTCAGACTCAGGAAAATGTCTCTAATATTGATCCGTGCTGTTGCATATATCAGTAGTTTGTTCATTTTTATTGATGAATAATATTGCACAATTTATTTAGTCTTTAATGGAAATTTGAGATTTTTTTCAATTTTTGACTATTATCAAGAAAGCTATTATGAATATTCATCTACAATTCTTTTTGTGGACATATTTTTATTTGTCATGGGAAAATATAAAGAAGAGGAATGCTGAGTCCTATGGTAAGTTTAACTTTTATAAGAAATTGTCAAATTGTTTTCCAAAGTGTTTAAACAATTTTACATTTCCACTAGCAACATATCAATTCCAGTTGTTCTATATCCTCTCTGATACAGGGCATTGCCAACCTTTATAATTTTAGGCATTATAGTGTGTGTGAAATTGTATTGAACTGTTAGTTAAATTTGCATTTTCTTGATGACTAACAATGTTAAGCATGTTTTCACATTGTATTAGTCATTTGTATATTGTCTTTTGTGAAGAGTCCAAGCCTTATGCCTATTTTCTGAATATTAAGTTGTGAATTTTCTCTGCACATTCTGGGTAGAAGTTATTGGTCAGGGATTCTATGCCATATGTCAGAGGGGCCTCTCACATGTGTTTCTGAGGCTCATTTCTGCATTGCTCTCTCTCCTTGAGTTCCTGCCCTCTTCCAGATGCTTCCACTGTCCATGAAACTCATATTTGCTTTTCAACTCAGCGGGATTACCATGCTCTGCTTTGCTCCCAGATCTCTTTAGGGTAGTTGGGAAATTGTCCCTTGGCAGAGAGCTTGGTGATTGTGGGACTCCACCTTATCAGTTTCCCTTTTTTCAGAAATAAAAACCTTGAACTGCCCATTTTTTGATGTCTGAAATCAGTTGTCTCATATTTTGAAATCCAGATTTAGAGTTGCTTATAACTGGAGAACTTATTCCATATCAGTTACTCCTTCATGGATGGTAGTTGATATACTGCTTAGTGGGATGTAAGAATGAAGTTTTCATGAATAGAACAAAAATCAGATAACAGCCAGGTAAAAAATTTAAAAAATTATAGAGGATTTGTTTATTCATTTATTCGATAATCATTTAAGCCACTTAATATAGTTGTTCTCTGGAAAGAATGTAAAATTTCATGGGGAAGATAGATAGGAAAACATAAATGTAGTAACAGCAGAATGCAATGTGATCCATTCTTATAAAGAGAAATAAAAAGTGGTGTAGGTGCACTCACATGTCTGAAAGAGTTGAGTATTCCTTACAGGCAAGGAACCATGTAAGATGGATGTTAATATTTGTATATACATTGTAATTTGAAAAAGAGATCAGATGAGGATATTGCAGCTGCCAGTATAAACAGTTCATTCAAAAAATTGCTAGTCAAAGCAAAATTTGATGTAGAATAATAGCTTTAGGAAGTGGTCAGGTAAGGTAGTGGGGAGACCTGTGAGTCCACAAGGCAAGTAAAAAAATTGTATTGAAGTTGCAGATGTTGAAGAGAAGAAATTGGCAGTAAGTGAACACCAATCAGGGGCATTGCATATTGACTAAGGTTAGAGTAGAAGCAGTTTTTAGCCACTTCCAACTCTGAGAGTCCATGTGTATTATTCTAGATATTTAGTGATAAATGTCTCCAACAGTGTAAGATCCAATGAAAATGTAATAACTCTAATGTCAGTGAAAGGTGATTTTATTTTTCTCATGTGTAACAAAAGCTAAAGAGATCTTTGTTTTCCATAAAAGATTAAAGATGCTTTATGTTCATCATGAAAGAGTATTTGCATAGAGGATAAATTATTTTTAACCTCAAGAGCACTGACTTATGTTACATTTTGGAAAGAAAACCAAGATGTTAAAAGGGATAATAATGTGAAAAGGAAATATGTGTTCACCAGAGTTTTTCCTAAGCGTTCTGAGTTGAGATAAAGGGATGATAGAATAATTGGGGTAACATACATAAAGGAAGCACATATAAAAAGCAGAAGAAAAGGAAGGACTCTTGTGATAACATGTTAAATTATTGGAGCTGGGTGAATAAATTATATAAGGATCAAATTCATTGAGTAGTGAGAGTTGACAGTTTATAAACATAGTCTTTCTATTTCATTTGCCCACACAAACAGCTAGTTGATATTTTTTCTCAAATGGAAGTTTCATGTTGCAGAGTCTCAGCAAACCTCAACTCTGGCTTGGAGCCAGGAGGATCTTGTCTTTTATGCATTAATTCTGGGCAAGGAAGTTGCAGTCAGGGGCATGTTTAGGGAGGATGAAAGTCTTGCCTGAACTTATTTCTTTATATACTCACACTGACCATTGTGCACAGGCTTCACAAGGAAGAGCTCCCTCGATTTATGTTTGGAATTTTAGGTGAAAAATATCTCATATAACATCTTACCAACACATTAATTTATTAAGAATTCTGAGACCTAAAGAATGAATAGTTTTAGCTAAAGATGTACAGCTAGTTATCAATTCAGTCAAGAAAATACAGACATCTAGTTCAGCTGTCTTTTGATTATATCATGCTGTCACCCTAAACTGGGTAAAATTCTTAAAAATTCAAAGTTTTAACTTATGCCATACTTGCAATGGAATAAAAAGAATAACATGAACTACTGAATTTTGGTTCAATCTTGTGCTACTTAGGATGTCATGTCTTTTACAGATTTTAGTGCAAATTTAAGTTCATAGTACATCATTCCCATTACTTTACCATATGTTACATATTCAACCTAAACCATAGGAGTGCTATGGAAATTAATTAGTATTCACAAAATAGGTTGAGAGTGGCAGAGTCAGGAAAAATATAAAAGGAATCATTACTATTCTTGTTTTCTCCACATTTATTGAAGCAAAACAAATGTTTTAACTGTAACAGTGACAGCTTGTTGGTTAAATGTGTATCAAAACCTTCTTATTTCTAAAGGGAAGGCCAACATGCCCTTATCAAGATATTTGGATAGGAGATCAATATGTAATTTTTACTAGCTTGTTCTTTTGGTCTTTTGACTATTACAGATAGATAGATAGATAGATAGATAGATAGATAGATAGATAGATAGGTTTATGAACTAAAGAGGAAAGATGGAATGTAACACAAAAAAAATCATTATAGCAAGTATATGTGTTCAGAGTATGGTCAAAGCAAACTAAAAGATATAGGATACCAGCACTGATATTATGAAGGAACATTCAAAATTTTAAAACAAGCAAAACATTTAGGATGCCCTGAAATATATTTTTAGTACTGTTTCTCTTTATTTTGCCATACTTTTAAAATATAAAAACAGCCTTCACAGCTTATACTCCATAGCCAGGGAGATTTAGTTCAAGTCTCAGTTCTCCTACCTACTTGTTCCATAGACTTAGACAAGTTATATAATTTATCTAAGCCTTGATTTCCTCATCTATGAAATCAAAATAATAATCCCATTTTATAAGATTGTTATGGGGATTAAAAAATGTGGCATCAAAAATTTTTAGCTTAGCTTTATGTCTGGCACATATTTTTAGTGCTCATATAAAGGTCACTGTTATATATATACACACATACACACACGAGAGTTGAACATTATAGAATAGACTGAACACTTTTATTTATAAATGAAACATGCCATTTTTACAAGAGATTGTGTTTCCAAAGGAAGATATTATAAGGCTTCATTTAAAAGACATTTAAAAGATTGCAGTTTAAATGAAGATACCAAATATATTTACCATCTCTGTGGGTTGGCATTGAAACAAAACACAACAGGATTATTTCTCTGTTCCCTCAAGGTCAATTGAAATGAGGACATCACACTGTTCTCATTGAGGCGCTGAGCATATTTTGCATCTCCAAATTTAAGATCAGTGATTGCAACTATAATCCAGCCAAATAGAGTCCTTAGAGTCAAAAGGACTGCAAGTAAGCACTTTGGTGGAGTTTCATGGACAACTTTGCTGTGCTTCTGCAACCTTCAGTCGATTTGGGACATGCCAGGATTAGAATCACTGAGGCACATCGGACTGAGTAGATTTTATGATGAGTACAGCTTGAATACTATAGTGAGAACATCAATCACTCTTCGCATGAGACTCCAATTTTCAGAAATGGAAGGTAGAAAATGAGGTTATTATGAGGATGAAGGAGACCTGCTTTTATTTTTTTCAGCAACAGAAACTCATGCTGGATTTAAGGAAGAACTTCAATGCATGAGTAGTTGGATATTATTTACATTGGAAGAGGGCATCTCTTTGAAGGGAATATTTAAAATATATTTCAAAGTTATTTTTAAGGGATTCAGAATCTGTTTAATAACACATGGGTCAACTGTTTTTTCTGCCTTCTTTTTCTTCATTTTTTTCCAATGTTTAGTTCATGGTGCTATGTTTTTTAACTTTGCTTGAAGTTTTATTTTAGCTTCTTGGGTTCATTTTTATTTGTTACAGAATTAGATCATAAATGATTATTTTATTTTAGCTTGTACATTTTTTGAAGATTTGTTCTATAATTTTCTGACAGATTTATCAACCTCTCTATTAAGGAAACTTTAAGAGTATTAGCACTAATAAAGCAGAATATTTTTTGCTTATTCTGAACATCAAGGTTTACTACTTTGTATAGAATGAGTAATGAACGTCTTCCGTTTGTTCTCTTTAGGGGTGAATAAAGGCATTTACTTTAGCTACCCATGCCGACGTCACAGCTGTGCTGTGGTAAACATCCCAGCACCTTGTGTCAACAAAATGATTTCACACATCCAAGATGTGGAGTCCAAAATACAGGAGCATTTGAAAAGGGTAAGAGACTAATTTAAAATGCTGATATTTTGGTAAGCTTTATAGACACTCTAAGGGTTGGTTACTTAAAAAACCCAGAAAACTCTTTGGACTTTTAAAATGATAATTGGAATGCTTTTTAAGAATCTTTGCTCAGTTGCATAATTTACTAGTCTAGACATGTTTTTGATAGTCTCACTCCAGAAGGGTGAAACGACCTTATTAAATCGATGTTTTTTTTCCTACCTGTTTGTTCTTTATCCAGAGGCAATCATGCTAAGTAGTAATTTCCATAAGCCAACTTGACTAGTAAATTAAGTAGTATTTACATACTTTTTGGGACACTAAACTGATTAGATGATTAAATTGGTGTATAAAAGGACAGTGTGCCCTTTTTAATGAGTTGTTTTATTCTAAAGAAATGCTTAATAGTTCTATTGAAAAGGAACATAATGATTCTATGTCTTTTTAACCTGTTAAAAGTTTGCCTTTATTATTCTGAAGGGAGTTCAATCTTGAAAGGCAATTATTTTCAAAGGATGATTTAAGAATGACAAAAAATACCACTTCTCATACTTTTTATTAAGGTTATATTTCTGAACAACTAATGCAGAATTAGACTGCTCATATGGGGGATCAGTTTTCCAGAGACCTGTGCTGTTTTTTTTTTTTTCTTTTCCCTGTTACTGGATCTGGCTCAGCAAACATTCTGATGGGCCACTCACAATTCTCAGTCCAGGATGTCACCTCTTTTGTTAGAGATCATTAGAATACAGTCTTCAAGATGGCAGGCTTTAGCGTGACCTTAGATGGGAATGAAGAGATAATGATATTATGTTAGAACAAGTACCAGCAAATGATATGCACTCAATATGTATTTGTCATTGTTACTTCTGTATTTTTTGTATCATTCTATATCAGCATTGTTACCTTTGTTGTTTCTATATTTCTCCAAATCAGATTACCCCTTCAGGAATGCTTTATAGGTTACAGGACTGATGGTGTCCTGGGCTTTGAAGACTATGGCAAGGAAATAAAGAGAATAAATGAATATGTATTGCTGTGATATGCTGTACACTTCCTATGAGATTTAATTAACAATTACCCATGTTGTTAAAAATGATAAAAATCATAGGTATTTTAATAAATAATTATAACAACTACCATTTATTAAAGTGGTATAATGGTATTTTAATAATTAAAACGGGTATTTTAATAAATAATTATAACAGCTACCATTGATTAAAAACCTAATATAAGTCAGACATTATGTTTTACTACATCATTGCTCTTAGACCTTACAAAACTACTATTGAATGGTTGTTATACCTAATTGATAGATAGGGAAATAGTCATTTAAAACAGCTCAGCAACTTGTTCAAGGTCACAAGGCAGAATTGGGATTCAAACACCCTCTGTCTGTTTTCAAAGCCCATATTCTTTCCTGAATCCCACTTAGTGCTCTGAACAGTTGATAAACTGTTAGACACTATGGATAATAGACCAGGTAAAATATTACCTTAGATAAAATAGTTTACAAAATAAGCCAAGGTATTTTACATCTTGTCTTTTAAAAAGCTGAAAAAAGAGCTATTCTCATGTAAATACATTGAAAAACCTCAAAAAAGGAGAAGCACCAGGACTGACTTCTTTAATATTGTCTTCTGGAGCCTAGATTAGTGCCAGATAAATAGTAGGCACTCAATAACTGTCTGTTGAATAAAAAAGTAAATGAAGAGCTGAAACAGAACCTTTCTTTTCTGCATACATCTGAGACACCTATCCACTCCATATATGAGGGTGATTTATATACCTAACTTTCTAGGCATTTAATAAATATCTAATTTTTGTTTTTTTGCCCTTTATAGAAATTCTGTACAGGTGAGAATTCTAGGGCGTAGAAAAGTCAAATACCTTATATGTACACATCACACAGGTAGTGAGCACTAGAGTTGGAATTTGTACTTAGCTCCATCTGACTCCAAAGTCCATTCAGCCTCTGTTTTATATCCTTGGGGAGATCTTAATTCTCATTTCAGAGAATATTGATTGGTATTTTGAGAAGAAACACACAAAATAACAATGCTAGATAAGTACACTTCTAGACAAAATTTCAATAATGATAATAATTTGTTTATAAGTAAATAAATACAAGTTTTATCTGAAAGGAGATTCATTGCGAAATAAATGCTAATGACAAACTTTTGTTAATTTTCAAGGTTATTTTGTAGATTTTCTATTTTCTATATTTAAAAATTATCGTATTTTGTTTTATTATTGACTGTGCAGTGTGATTTGCTAGTGTTGAACTGGTAAATAGAATGTAAGTAATATGTTTGGTGCAATGATGAGGACTATCCATGAGATATTTAGTTCAAATTTATGCAGTATTTGAACTAATATTTTAAGAATGAACTGGTGGCCAGCTATCTTTTTGAAAGATGAAAAATTTTTTTCTGATAAAAATTTTTATCACAATAAGAAAAAAAATCTTCCCATTATCACAGGGAAAAAGTGATAATATTAGCAAAAAGCAATAATATTACCAAAAAATGTTGGTAATATTAGACAACCTTACATTGACATAGGAACTTACATTTCCTCAAAAATAAAATTAAGCAGGCACAACTGGATAGAACTCTTTAAAAGATAGCTTCTGATTTTTTGAAATCAAAGCTAATAGCATGTATTATTTCCAAATAAGTAAAGGTCATAATTCAGAATTAGTTAACCTAAGCATAATTCCTCATGTCACATAAAGTGAGTTATGTGTGTAAGAAATACTTAAAATGGTAATCATCCGTCTGTTCTCTATGTTCATGAGTTCAATTGTTTTGATTTTTAGATCCCACAAGAAAGTGAGAACATGTGATGCTTGTCGGTCTATGCCTGCTTATTTCACATTGCATGCCTGGATCAAAACATCACATTTTCCCCATAAATACATACACCTACTATGTACCCACAAAAATTACAAATAGAGAAAATTTTTAAATATTTAAAATGAATAATTACCTGCAGAAAATACTAAATATGAATGTGTGCTGTGTGCATTTTTCCTCCAGAATGCCCGAGGGAAATGCAGAAAAGGGACATTTCTTCTCAACGTTTTTGCCACTTAACATTTTACCCAGTAAAGTTGTCAACTGACTGTAAAAAAAAATGAGAGGAAGTGGGACATTTTCCTGTCTATAAATGTATCTGTATATACATCTTTGTGAACACATATTCATTCATTACCTACAGTCCCAGGCCCGTCTGGTAACATATCTGGTGCTGGACCACCCTTTCACCAGTTTCCAGGGGTTAGCAGAGGTCAAAGCAAGGCAGAGGAACAATGCTTGGTCGTTACCAGCTGGAGGCTTCACCCCAGTTACGTATAATATGTGGTCATCTGTGATTATGGTAATGGTTATACAACTCCGCCATTACATTAAAAACTGTGGATTTGTATACATTCATGAACTCTAAGCTACGTAAATTATCTCAATAAAGCTGTTATTATATCTGTGTATATACATCTCCATAATGAATTGCACAAAATTCTTTTTTTGAGTTGTAGATCATCTGAATTCCTTTGGATTTTAATGTTAGAGGTCAAAGCAGGCAACTGGCTTAATTATCTCTCTAAATTACCCAAATCTCATGTCTTACGACTCTAATTGTTAGAAAAGTTTGGTGCAATGATGAGGAAGGACAGGCTGGCCAATGAAGGGCCTAGCAACAAGCAAAAGAGAAAGGGGTATTTGCCAAGTGTAAGTTTACTTAAACCCCTCTTGCTGAGGTCTCACTATGTTAGCCATGCTGGTCTTGAACTGCTGGCCTCAAACAATCCTCCCTCCTCAGCCTCCCAAAAAGTTAAGATTACAGGCATGAGCCACCACGTCAGGCCCATTAGATAAAATTCTATAAGTAATTATAAAGGTTACATCTACCCTGGTTATAACGTACATTAAATGAGTGACAGATCAGTCTTTTACAATTTTCTGTCCACAGTGATTTCCAGTGTAGTCAGAACACTCTGACGCCTGTGGTTAGCAGCAATGCATCTGCCACGGACTTTTCTATCCACTCCAGTTTAATTGCAATTTGAATCTCCAAAGAAAAACTCTTCAGAGTGGAGTTACTATGAAAATTTTCCCTATATTTTATTTTTGCAAAGAATCTGGAAACATCACACAATGATAAAAATAATCACCTGAATATCTTCTCACACAAACAAAAGATTATGTTTTATTTTTTCCTCTACCTTATTCTCTTAGACTGCCTAGGCTGTAAATAGTTTTATTTAATTTAGAGTAAGCTCTACAGAATTAAAATTTTCCTCTTCATTTAATCAATATCAGTCATTAGGATGCTACTGTAATTTAAAAGAACAACACAGAGAGAAAGTATTTAAAAAGCATTCTTTAAAATGTTAACAATATATTGTACAAAATTAATAACAACAATGATAATAAAGCTAATATTTATAAAATGTTTACCAAATACAGACTTATTAGACACTTAATATGCATAATTTCATTGAATTCTTACTAAAACCTTATGAGATAGAAACTGCAATTATTTCCAGTTGCAGATGAGGAAAATGATTTCAGAGGCTGATTTCCCCCAAGATCCAATGTCAGTGGCAGAGCCAGCATCCAGACCAGGTGTATCTGAGCTCTAAGCACACCTGGTTCAGCACTGTGCCATGACATCGTGTTCTTGACAGTGTGTCAGCTATTGAGACCAAAGACATGAATGTTAAAATGTTTGTCATTCTCACTGGAAAACTTGGCTCTATTTATACCACTTCATATCTATTTTTTAACTCTGAAACATAACATTTAACACCTGACTGTTTACTAAGTTTCTCATACTTTGAGTTCTCTCATTCTATTAGTTCTATTGTATTTAACTTGAAACTTATGAGCACTTCAAACACTGATATATCTACTTTCCTATTCTGTGGTTCCTATTTTCCTTTAGTTTCTTGCCTAATCAATTCATCTCTCTAAACATTCATCAATAGGTGTATT